TGTGTGTGGGTACATACTGTGTAGTATCGTGATATTTTGTATCGATACAGGGACAGCAGAAATCGATATTTTGTTACAAAAAAGGTTTTTGACTTCAGAGCATGTTGATCCTTTTTCTGAGCAGGAATCCTGACATTCCTTCACTGTCCAAATGTGTTTAACTTTAAGACATGTTTTATTTTAATTAAGTTTAAAACTTTTTTATTTAATGTAAAATTATATTTTGTTTTAATTTACTTTCAAATTCTTCAGTTGCTGAAGGGGCTGCATAGTTTTCATAAATTGCATAGTTCAGAATAGCTATAGTTGTACCAGATGGTTGCATTCAGTTCAGTTGGACTAGACTGTAATACAAACCGTTCAGTTTGTCAACAATAAAACTGAAATGAGAGAAAGACTGAGTGCGAGACTTTGATATTAGATAAAATGAATATTGATAAAGTTTAACTTTATGTACAGAATCTGAATATCGCAAAATATTTTAAAAAATTGCAAAAATATCGTATCGTGCATTAACTATTGTGATAATATCGTATCGTGAGATGTATGGTGATTCCCACCTCTAATATATATAGATAGAAATAAAGTGTGTGTGTTTAAAAAAAAAAAAAAAAGGTAGGTCAGGGAGAGGCAGCTGCCAGTCTTATCACACCTCATAGTTGACTGCCAGCGCTCCTCTCTCTCCTCATAACTCATGTACTGGATTGGCTCATTACAAGTCCATTACTCTGGCAGCATTCCACATGCTGCTGATAAGAAGAGTTTGTCACAGCAGACTGAACTGGCCTCAGTCACAGTCCCGCAACCTACCTGAACCGGTCTGACTCGTCACGCTGAACACTGCATGCCAAAAAACTCTGACATTCAGTTTGTAGGTTAGTACTGCAATGTGATCATTACTCAGGTAACTGTTTAAAATAAGTGTGGACTGAGTGAGTGACAGAGAAACAGAGACGAGCTGTTCAACTTTTGTTTCTGTGTGAAAACCACAAACGTGCACTGAGTGTGTGTGTGTGTTCCTTGTGTAGGACCAGAGGATATATGAGCAGCTGAGAGAGTCCCTCAGATGACTGCCAGACCAAGAAGACATCAGCCCCACTCACAAGTGATTGAATAATATTGTAGTGTATATACAGGTATAATACTTTTCTATTAAAGTTTGACAGACGCGACTTGCACGTGTTCTTTCAGCTGGAGCACACCGACTCTACGAGCCGCTGCTTTGTCTTTGAAAAACGAGCTGAGAGGTTTAAAAATGCAACAGCGTGGGTGCCGACTAAACGCAGCAGCACAGCTCTGATTACTACAAGGCAGAGGAGTACTTACTACTGCATCGCTATAAATTAGCATATTGTGGAAAAAGGTGGGGGGGGGGGTTTGCAAATGAATTTAACAGGGAAGCCTTTAAACATTCTGTATTCAACATAAAACTGTAAAACGTGTCAGGTTAATGCCGAGCGTGCCAGCCCAGGACACCCACACTAAGGGGTTCTTCAGCTCAAAAGGTTAATACATCAATATTTCATTTTCATTTTGAATTACACTGAGCACCAGATTCACATGGAAGACGATGTCAGAAGGTCGCTGCTGAGGAGGCTGGCTCGTCTGAGTGCTTTATCAAAGCATGCTGATGAAGGCTGCAAAGGAAGTGCAGCAAGAGGTGCTCAAGCAACAGCGCTGACTGAAGGGAAAGTGTCAGCGCAGGAATTTGTATTGAGACTGCTGTCAGTGGGAGGAGAGGGACAGGCACTGCAACGGTCTCACAGGCGATATCAAGCCAGCCCTGAACCAAAGAGAGAAACAACTGGACTGTAGTTTAGTGCTCCAAAGTCCTCTTCCCACATCAAAGTCATTTCTTTTTTAAAGATTTACTTTTGGCCCTTTTCCAGGCCCCCTCAATATATGCAGTGAAGAGTGACAGGACAGTAGAGATTGGGCGGAATAAAAACCCATGCCGGCCGGCCGCCTCCCCATCCCAGTGAGCCAAACCGGTGCCCCACATGAAAGTATATTTCTAAATGGAAACTTGGAGGTGTCTAAAGTGCCAAAACTACCAAATGCTTTACTAACTGGCGTGGGGATCATCTTTTAGTTTTCACTCTTTTCCATTTCTATATTTATATAAGTGTTCAAGGTGCATTCTCTTACTTTGCTTCCATAAGCTGTAAAATCAGACAATGGATTTCTTTCTTCAAGTTTATCACTGGCTAAAAGGAGCAGTCATCATGAATGCAGCCACCTGACACACAGAGAGGTCACGAAGGACCAAGACGTTTGTTTTCCAGAGTTTAATGTGACGCTGGTCTCTTTAAGGAGGAAGCAAACAGTGTGAAACATACAGCACAGTACAGAAGTGACAGGCCTGCTCCAAGCACACAGCACAAAAAAGTGAGTGCACTCCTCTGCGTTTTACATCCAGAGATGTCCCACAGTGAAATCATAACAGCACCACAGTCGCCTCAGTACTGTCCACCTCATTCAGTTCAACATAAGTAAATGTGCAGGCTTAAAACATAAAGTAAAACTAATTGTTTTAACACTTTCATCTTTTAAAGTCTTGCTCAAGAAGCAATCAACTGAGTTAAGATCACAATCATGGAAACCAAAGCTCTGGTGATCAGTTACATATGCATGTCACAAGCTCAGACATTTTCAGTCACAGGTTGGATGAGGATGGGCCGGGAGCCATTACAGGCCACCAAGTGTGAACATCTAAATTTCGCTTTTATGTTGGCTTTAAATGTGCATAGATGCATCACTCACAAGAAATTAAATTTATATGGAAGGAAGTTACATTTAAATACACTGTGTTTGAGCTCTAAAGTGGAAGAAAACATCTGGTTGGATCCAGCTGCTTTGCACAGCCAGCTGTGACGCTTTACTTCAGCAGAGGAATCTGTGGGGCTGGCTGCACAAAGACCTCATACTCTAACAGTTCGACTAGCGGGACAGGACGCAGACATGGAAGTTGCAGAGATCACTCCGTTAAAAAGGAAGTCCAGTCTGAATGAAGCCTCTTTGTAACAGCAAGGGTGTGTCAGAGAGAAGTGCTGCATTGTGTTAGCCCTGGGTGGACTGGCAGCCCGTCCGGAGTTACCCTACCCCCAGTATCCGCACGCAGGCTCTAGGGCCCCCACCACCTGACTTTGAGAAGCACTCAGGAAAAGTATGAATGAAGCTTTACTTTTTCGGATATCTGAACAGATTCATAGCTGTTCAGATATCAGATCTCTGTGCAGCCAGTCCTATATTTGTTCTCGCTCTACAACACCAACAAATTAAAGCCCAGCACCACCCGTTTTTGGACCTGGAAAACAAAGACCTGTTCTGTGCACACTCAGCACGTCATCCCTCTAGTCAGTTTAGTCCACATGTGGAATGCACTCATCTGCAGAAGCTGTTAATTTTTTCAAAGTGGAAAGGCTGCCTTTACAGCGGACACACAGCAGTGTTCCCACAGTGGCGTTACTCCTGTTTGACCTCTCCCTTCAGCTTTCTCTTGATTCGTGAATATGGGCTTATGGTATCGTCCATGATGAAGTCGTATAGGACCTTCACCCAAGATGTGTACTGAGGCAGGTCAGCATAATACTCTGCAGCAATTTCCTTTACCTGAAAACAAAACACAAGGAATGGACACATCACAATTTTCTCCATTTACTCACTATACAATTTTCTTTCATGCTTGAGACATAATGATTTTACTGTTTCTGCACAAATTACACTGGTGGTGGTGAAATCAAACTCCTGTGAAAGCCTGCTGCTCACAGATAACTTCATGTTCCTTTAGGATTTTCAATGCTGATTTCAGTTTCTTTCATATCTCAGGTTACAGAGGGGCAGGGATCCTTTATTGTTCTCCTGAGTACATTCAATCACAATATTCTGTATAATTTTAATATTGAACCAAATCAAATCATGGAGTACAGCTTTACTGTTCTATTAGGCAGGTTTTATGTGACAAATCTAGTTCTCAGCTGAAGAATGTTTTAACCATTGCAGTTTCTCTCTCAGAACGACTGCCTAAACCATCTGTTGACTTTGCATGTGTACACAACAATGTGACATTAGCAGGGAACTAACTCCAGTGGTCAGAATGTGTGGGTAACAACCTGCACTGTCTCTGAACTTTACTCACCATGGGCAGCCTGCGTCCTGGGATGCTGGGGAAGTCATGGTGCTCATTGTGGTAACCCACATTGAAGGTGAGCAGATTGAGAGAGCCGTAATAAGAGTAGGTCTCGTGACCCTTCAGGAACATGTAGTGCTCAGCTATGAAGTGGCCAGAAATTGGATGCAAGCCCATTCCCAGCATGGAGCCAGCCAACATGTAGACCACAGGCTTAGCCCCCCACAGCCAGTAGAGCAGAACATTGAAGGTGACCTGGAAAGCCACATTGGTCATCTCAAGCTGAGTGATGGGTTTAGGGTTAATGCAAAGGGGCCGTATAGCATAGAAAAGTGGCTGCAGAATAATCCAGATAAACTTGCGAAAGCGAGTGCAGAAAAACCAGCCTTCAAAATCAGTGGGGATATCTACATCAATCCCATCTCCACCCAGGTAGCGATGATGATCCAGGTGATAGCGTTTGAAAGACGCAGAGTAGGGCAGGCCGATCGGCAGGTTGGCAAAGATGGCAAAGTAGCGGTTCCACATGGCTTTGTTATTTCCAAATGCTGTATTGTGGGAGATCTCGTGAATAGCAAGGGTCATTGAGTGGTTGATGCAACTGCCAAATGCATAAGTCCAAAACAGAACCCATTTCCAGTCCAAGTCCTTGACCAGGTAGAAAGCTACAAACTGTATCACCACCATCATGCACACGATCCACTTCAACCTCGGGTCAGGACCCATCAGCGTTTTGATTTTTGGATATTTGGCTGCAAGATAAACACAGGAGACTCAAAGTCAGTTCAGTCAACATTCAAATGCTGAAAAGAAGACAATCGCAACCTCACGAGGTAAAGCTGCGCTCCTAATTAAACGTTACACTCTTCGTACAAAGTTGTAGACAATGATATCCTTGAATTAAGACTATTTATGAATTTGGAACACATGTATCCTTGTTAAATTTGAAAAACGCTACTGCATTTTGCTAATCGGTCATTTAAAACTGCTGCCATAAATAGTATTTCGATCTTATTTTAATGGCTGACTCAAGAACAATAAACACTTCAGGACACTTTAAGAGACTCGCTGAAGACAGTGTTTCGCTCAGGCCTTTTCCACAGGTTCATGTGATTAAACATGTTTCATTTACATTAAAGCATCACATTTTTTCCATAAAAAAAAAGAAAAAAAAAGCATAGGTTACAAAACCAAATTTGGTCAAGGCAATGTTAAAACAGCAACAACCCCCCCCCACACACACACACACACTTAATTAGTGACCTGTGTGTCGATTCTCTCTGTATCTTCCTGTCCTTTCTTAAAACCTTTGACCCCAACACCACAAAGCTAATAGTCATGTTTTATAATCATGATACAATTGTACCTACATGACAGATGCATTTCAAAAATCCAAAAGATCCAGTTTAACATGTAAAGACAAACAGACTAAACCCCAAGACTTATGGAAAAATACCCTTTGAAAGGTTATTGTACATAATTAGAACTATGCCTTGGGGGGGGGGGGGGAACAAACTGAATTTATTTTGTGAAAATAAACATAATCAAAGAGATCTCCTTAGCTTTAGTCTGCTAAAGTATGTTACTACACCTTGCCTGATGGCGCTTTGATGGACAAGTTTATTGAGTTTACCAGAGCCTACAAGACTGAAAGCCAACGTTCAGCATATGACCTACAACACAGAAATACTTGAACACTAATACTTAAACTAAAACTCAATGTGCTGCAATGGATTAAGTCCACAACTTAATCTGACTGAACTCCACTGACGTGCAATGAAAGGTGCAATAGAAATAAAATGGATTAAAAATTTGAATGACTCAAACCTTTAACAACCTCAGTCAAAACAAGACGAAAGCCAGCCACGCAAGTATAAGCTGTTGACTCATTTCAGATTCACTCAGGTTAAAAGAGCAAACTCACAGGGCCTCCAGGCTACATATATTTGCACAAAACG